CGCGGCATGGAGAACATGCTGGGCAAGCCATTCTGGCTTGCTTGGAGCTGTTTTTGGGTCTTGTCGTTGGGTGGCTGAAAGCGCATATGTCTTCAATGTTTTGTGGTCAATCTTATGGACAACGTGCTTGAGCAATGCTGGAAGTATGATTGCGAGGAGGGTCAGGCTTATTGCAGAAACAGCTCGGTGGCAATGTTCTATAACACGTTTGCCAGCTGCTCGCAGAAAAGGCTGATGCCAAGGGGCTGGCAGGGCTTCATCATATCACAGGTCTTTGTTGCTAGCAGAATCACACTGAGCTGATGAAATCTGTGCCAGGGAATTCAACGTGCGCTCCATTGGGAAGGACGGTAGCATCTATCTTCCATCGCCCGACGGAAGCGAGGCTGGGACTGAGCGAAACCTAGTGTCCGCATTCTTGGGCAGTACGTGGGCCACATGCTTCTTGAAGAATCAGCGCAGGACTTTCTTGCAACCGTTGCGCAGTAGCAGCGGTAGTAGCAGCCGGAGCAGTAGCAGCAGTAGCAGTAGCAGCAGCAACAGCAGCAGCAGCAGCGCAGGAGGGGGGGAGTTGTAGAGTTGTGCAAGTTTGAGAAGCACCTTTGACAAAGTGTGCGTTGGCTCAGGCCCAATTGCAGGCGCAACCGTCGCCGCGGTTGGGCTCAACATTACAGTAGTCCTTACGGCTTAATCTTTGTCTTGTAGAAAACCAGAGCAGCCAGCCCGTGCACTTCCTCGCATTCACGGCACTCACAAAACTGTTTGACCCAAGGCGTGCGGTATGCAGTGGGACTCCGAGCATAGGCACTTGCCTGAGCTCGCTCCGAGCATAGGCACTTGCCTGAGCTCGCGGATTTTCCGCAAGTCTCTCCTACTCTCCTATCACGCGCTCTCGTGAGGATCGCGTGATCGCGAACACATACTCCGTGTCTTCCAGGTCCACTTTCCTGTGCGTCGCAAGAGCTGTGCTCATTGTCCAGGCGATGGCGACGACCTTGATGAGCGTCTTGTCACACTGCGTCAGGTCGTTCTCCTCCACGTTGTTGACGAGGGCAGAATCTTTGATTCCGCCTCATGCTTTTGCTGGTTCCAGAATTCCAGCGTTCACGTGCTTAGCAGAGCACGCAGACAATTTGCAGTCACGCGCCGTCGGGATCAGGCTCCACATCCTCAATCTGCCAGCGCCTTTGGCCTTCTTTCGCGCCGTGACACCGAGCCTCTACGTCTTGTCCTGCGTCATGTCTCGCCCATCCGCAAGGTCTCTCGACCAGGTCCTCTGCGTGAGACGTGCTGTAGCTGATCCGTTTGGCGTTGGACGCACGCAAGTGCAACTCCCCCGTGGCAGGCCGTCTCATCCGTGCAGATGCTGGTTGCGCCAGCAGTACCAGTACTACTTGAGCGCAGGCTGGCCGTTCAAGTTGATGGCGATGCGCTAAGCTCGTCCTTGGAGTCTGCCCGCTACCAGCGGGCCACAACCGCAGCAGCCAGGAGCGTGCGGCCCAATGGCGTTGCGCGCGAGGGCAGAGAGGCACCAATGATGGCTCCGCTACCAAACTCGCAAATCTATGTTGATCCAACCTGCGGCTGGCAGTGGTAGCTTGCTTCAATGGGCTCAGCATTCAGCCTTACGCCTTTGATTTTGATTTGTGGAAAACGCCCGTGCGCTTCCTTTGCTTTTGGTCGGCTTCACGGCGTCTCCGCGCGCCCACTGAAGGAGCGCCTCTTCACGCGTCTGAGACGGGCGAGGGCTCGGGAAAGATCGGCGGAGGGTCAGCTCATTGGGTCGCAATCTTCGCTCGCCGTGGCTGGGCGTCCCAAAACTTGAAGCGCAGTCCTTGGAAGGCTGTGCGAGCGACAAGCAAGCTGTGCTGTGCTTTTGCAGAAGCTCCGTATCGGAGTCGTTGGCACGCGCCAGCAGCCGTCCCGCGCACTTCTTCTGCGTCTGGTCACTTTCACAGCCGTGCTTTCGCAGATGTTGCTACTCGGACTACTTGCCCTTGCGCTGAAGCTTCGAAGAACATTGCGGCCCGTGCCTACGCAAGATGATTGGCGCAAGTGCAGCAGAGTATGGGTGCAAAAATAGTTTGTTTAGCACACACGGCCAAGTAGAGTCTACGCAAGTATTGTTTGCGCGAGTGCGCAAGCAGTCAGTGCCCAGCTTGTGCCCCGGCAAAGTCTGCGCATGGTGCAGGTTGAAGTGCCGATTGGCCCCGTTAGTGAGTTCGCTTTTTTCCACATTCGGACCTCAAATAGTCAGGAGCGTTGCCCACAATGCTCTGAAAGCAACCGCCTCTAATTCTGACAGCTTTGGCCGCCTCCAAATTCCAGAAAGTGGAGCCAAACCAAACCGAAGCGGTGTTTTTGAGACGTTGTCGTCCGAATGACTGGCTTCTTCACCCTGGTTTTGCAATGACTCGATCATGACATCGTGACCGTGCCGCGCTTTGTTTGTCTTTTGGGAGAGCATTACTTATTGTTTTCTAAACATTTGTCGCGCAGTGCCAGATGATATGGGAATTGAAAGGTGGCCGAAGAATGTCTTGTGATTTTCCGTCGATGTCAGGGTGGAGTATGGACCTTTCCGCCTGGCGCGGCAAAGCTGAAGGTGTCGCTTACTGCCAGCGCCCCAATGAGCTGGCTGTGCGTCGCCAGCCTTTGGAAGTTTTTAGAACCGTTGTCATACGCATCCTGCATCCATCAGGATTTCAATTTCTCAATCCAAAGGCCGCTAAAATCAAACGATTTCAGAACAGACGGCGCTCTTGCTACAGATGCGAATTGCACAAAGGCCACTTTTCGCAGCGAGTTTGCACCGATAAAACACATCTCTTGGCACCAAGGGATGCAGGATTGGCAATGAATTTTTTGGTCCAGAAAATTGAGCCGATCGCTGCGCACGTCATTTCACCGTGCTTGGCGCTCAGCTTCCCATTGACGAGTTTCTGCATTTGGCCGAAAAGAAGGAGAAGGCGCCAGGAGTGTGGCAAGGGGTGCAAGCAAGCCAATCATCATGAACGTGCTATCTGCAACTGGGTCAGGCCTGCTCTTCTGCGAAGGAGAAGAAGGAGCACATGCTGTCCTTGCAGAAGCGTCTCCCCAGCACTTTCCTGACGCGCCGTGTTGGACATGATAGGACTATGGAGACAGCAGTCATGGAGTCATGTCTGATAATTCGGACTCGGGCCAGCCTGTTTGGTTTGCATGTCCATAACCAAACCTTTGCTAGATGGAATGCTTTGGATTTCTTGTGTTGCCAGCCCTCTCTGGCTATGATCGCCCTGTTGGCGCCCCTGACGTGGACAAGACTCTGACGCGGAACCGCATGGCATCACCGGCTTGAGCTTCGCGGCATGTTGCAAGAGCACTCTGTTGGAGAGTATGGCAATGCAAGACAAGAGGGAGCTAGAGCAAGTGACGAGGATGAAGGGTAAACCCTGCGGCGAAATTCAACAATCGCCATGGGCCACACATAGCTGCAGACGGGGCTGAGTCGTTAGTTGGCCACTGAACATCGAGGCAAGGCACAGCAGTTGAGCAGTTGCCTGCGTGGCAGGGGTACTTCATATGCTTCGACGTGTCCGATGACAGCATGGCATCTTTGAAAGAGGCCCGTGCCGCTGGTGAGTGGCTGAGATGAACTCAGAACAGAAGGCAAGGACAGGACAACCGCACACGCGTAGGTTTTGTGATAAGTTTGGCACAGTCGCTTTTCTATGACTCTTTAATCACCAATGATTCGTACAACAACAGAGGGGCGCCCGTGCAAGCTGACAAAATGCGGGAGTAAGGAAGCACTCAAACATAAAGTAATTGGCTCGCTAACGAGTGAATGTGGCTGGCAGGTCACTGAGCGAATGAAGCCAGTGAGACAGTGAGTCAGTGAGTCACTGAGTCCGTGAGTGGGTGAGAGTTGAGTCAGCGAGACAGTGAGTCAGTTGAGTCAGCGAGACAGTGAGGCAGTGAGTCAGCGAGTCAGCGAGTCAGCAAGTCAGCAAGTCAGCAAGACAGCGAGTCAGTGAGTCAGTGAGCCAGTGAGTCGTGAGTCAGTGAGTGAGTGAGCCAGTGAGTCAGCGAGTCAGTGATTCAGTGAGTCAGTGGGTCGTCAGTGAGACAGTGAGTCAGCGAGTCCGCGAGTCAATCGAGTCAGTGAGTCATCGAGTCAGCGAGTCAGCGACTCGGCGAGTCGGCGAGTCCGCAAGTCAGCGAGTCGGCGAGTCTGCGAGTCTGCGAGTCGGCGAGTCGGCGAGGTGGCGAGTCAGCGAGTCAGCGGGCAGTCAGTGAGTCAGTGAGTCAGCAAGTCAGCAAGTCAGTGAGTCCGCGAGTGAGTGACTGAGTGACCGAGTGACTGAGTGAGTGTGAGTGGTGGGTAGGTTTGGATTGGCACGTTTGCGTGAGATGCTCAACTTATGAGCACGCAGCTATCGCGCATGACGGTTCGCGCCTCGCAGCATTAGTGCGTCCTATGTCTCATCTGAGTCCTCGTTTGCGATGGGCTTGTGATGATGGCGTGTCTCCAAAACTTGCCGAGCTGTTGGAAGCTGAGGCTGTGCTCATCGGCAGGTAAGTTTAAATCAAATGTTGCGGGCCCGTCAATGGCCCAAGGCAGGCTGCAGCAGCTTGCGCGTGGGCTGTTGGGCGGCCTTCAGCCACGCCAAGGCAGTTGCCTTTTCCGGCTCAGCCATTGGTATCTGCAAAGCATGGTTTCGTCCCAGAGACATCTGCTTGTGAAGTGGAGTCAAACGTCGCTTTCTCGGGTCTTGAACAGGGCAGTGTCCCTTGCTTGGACGACGAGCGCTGGGAACTGCGTGAGCAGCTGCCCGCGCACGAGGGAGTTTCGCGCATTGCGCTTGGTGCTCCTGGCACCCAGTCATCGTGGCTGTTTGCAGGGCATCGCAGAGGAATGTTGATGAGGCTGCAGCTTCTCGCCACGCAACACCTTGTGTGACACTCGAGCAAGTCAAGCGCTTCGAAGATGTTGGTTGCGCAGCCTCGGTCCCAGTTGGTTTGCGCTGGGCAGCACTTCTGCGGCGTTTACTTCTTCATGCTTGCTTGCGGTTTACGTCCCAACGGATCGAGCTTGGTGCTTCCAGCATTTATGGCTATTGTTGGGGTGCCAATCGCAAACGTGCTGTTTTCCGTTTTGCTGCCTTGCAGAAAGGGTTCAGCGAGAATGCTTGGGCTGACTTCGTCATGCCCCCTTTTTCAGTTGACTTCTCCCGGCGGGTACGCTTGTGCAGCTGGCAGCTGGGGGCTTTGAGTTTGGAGTCGGCTTATGCGCTGGCTGCTGTGACTTTGCACGCTTCGCCGCAGATTGTTACCCGCGCTGGGAATCTAGCTGCTCATGTCAGTCTCGGTGTGTGATCGGACATCGGGGGCAGTGCTGCTCCGGGGTGTGTGTCATGTCCGAGTTAGCGTTGAAGGCGCAAATAGCAGACAAGCCGAAAGAAGGTTGGGAACCAGTTGCAGATTTTGAGGTGCCCAGACTGCGTGTGCAGGCGCAACATCAAGCGCGCGACCAACGCAGATCCTCCGCCTGCCATTTGCCACGAAACCTTGAAGCCGAAAACAGAAAGTACTGTGGCTGTCACAAATCTATTTTACCACGAAATTGCAAGCTCGAAGCAGCCAACCGCTCTGACACGATAAGTCCATCGCCTTGCGGAGCCTGTTCCCATGTTGCGGTTGCCACGAATTTGCAAGCCCGCAGCAGCGCGAATGAGTGAGCGGGGGCAGGCGGGTGAGTGGCTGAGTGGGTGAGTGGGTGAGAGTGGAGTGATTGAGTGAATGACTGAGCGAGTGAACCAAGGAGCTGCTTGCGATTGCAATCATCTGAGTGCAATTGCTATACCTTCTGGCGTATGGAGTGTGGGGCAGAGGTTGCGCTCAGATTGTTAAGCCTCTCCCACACAGGTGCCAAAGGCGCATCTATCATAGCCTGGGCCTACAAGGCCCCACCGTATGGCGATAGGCGATGGCTGTGCACAAGATGCTTTCCGAAAGTTTGGAGAAGGCGCAGACCTGGAGCCGGCACGCTTTGTCAGCGCGCCTGCCTCGTTTTTTTCGCACATGCGACGCAAGAGACGAATCCGACGAATCCTTGTGATTCGCTGTTTTTCTGCCAGCCTCACATCTGGCTCGTCGGCTGCAAGTCCGACAAAGCCAACAGCGACGAGGATGTGAGGCCAGCCAGCGCTGCGAAAGCGCTTCCGCGCGTGTTGGCAGCTTTCTTTGCACGCTTCCATGTGCCGGGGGGTGAGCAGCTCAGTTTGTTTGAGTTGAGAACGTCTTGATGCCAGGAAGAATCGCACGCATGCAGATGATTTGCCCTCAGACTCTTCGCGCGCGTGTGAAACCAGAGTGTCCGGCGTCTAGGCCTACGCTGAGCAGCACGACCTGATTTGCAGAGTCACGCGCGGATCTGGAACTCCCTCAACTTTCGGCCATTTTCGCCAAGCCAAGGTCCGCAAGACAGCACAAAGGTGTGAATGAAGTCTTTGTGGAAATGCTCCAGGCCATCAGGCCGGACTTGGGGGAACGGGTCGAGGGCTTGCAGTAAGCGTGTAGTCTCATTTTGTTGGTCAGTTCAATCTTACACATTATCGTAGCTGCAGACAGCCCGTTTTGGCACTATTTGCTCGTGCAGTTCTCGCACGAATCTTTGGACCCTGGACGGCGACATCAATGAGGACGAAGAAGATGAAGATGCCTCTGCGCTTTGCCAGAGAGTTGGCCGGGCTTTTCAGGGCATGCAGGTGTGCTCACGTCTGCCATGACGTGACACATGTTCCCAGGGGTGCCCGAACGCAATGTGTTCAGACGCTGTTCTCTGCAACTAAGGGATGCTTTTCGCAGTGATGATGAGAGAAACTGCCGCGCACGGCTGAACAGCGGCTGTGCAGTGTTGGCGTTTGGGAGATTTGTGCCAGGTCTGTGTTTTCGCCTTGAGTCACCAGCTATTCTTGTTTTCACACTTCACGCTCTAGATCACGCGGGCAAAGCTTGGCCGGCTGGAAAAGCGACCGCAGTCCCAGTCACTCAGGTCTTTCAACGAATGTAGCTGCGACGCGTGCAATTTAATTCTTTGTATCTGCCGAATTCCCTGGCCTTTTGTTTTTAGATGCGTGTGTGCGCGCGCGCTTCAATCACCTGCGCTTTGCCAGAGTGCCCTTAGAACCAGTATTTTGTTGCCGCTTCCTTGCCAAAGGCGCTGCCTTGCTCACACACTAAGCTATGTATGAGCTGCGATACTTTAGCTGACGTCGTTGACCACGTTGCGAGTCAACTCTGCGTTTGTTGTTTCTCACATCTCTGCTTGCCTGGGATCAAGAAGCGCCGCAGTGCGCCGGCGCAGCATCCAAGTTGCAGGCAAGTGTGTCAACGGTGTCGACTCATTCGTGTAAAGCCTGCCCCTCCATCTCTCCACCCTCGTCTCCTTAAATTTTCAGCCACCACACCTCCTTCCTTCCCCTCATTCATTCAGAGAAGTAAAATAATTTCCATAACAATCAACAAAATAATATATATATATATATATCACAAAACAAACAACCAACAAGCACAAACAAAACAAAACAGCCCCTAAACTTCCTTGAAACTAAAATCCCCTGAAAATTGGTCCAACACATGAATCAATTTGCTTTTGTTTGTAAGCTTCATGGGTGAGTTATAGTTTAAGTTCAGGATGGTAGTTCAACCTATGATTCTCAATGTTTCATATTCCTTACTTATTTCATGCATCATTTTTAAAGTAATGGTTGCATCTCTTATTGTATTTTAATATTAAACTTTTTACTTTCAATAAATAACTTAATATTGTCTTTAACATCCTCTCCTTCTTTTTTATGATAAACCAACATCTATAATATGAAGCCTGTCATTTCATACTTTTTATTACTGATTTTGAGAAACTGTTTAACATAATCATAACATGGGATCTCATAAGCAGTTAGAAATATTATGATGTCATCTTCGACATTTCTTTCAAACAAACTTTTAAATCTCCAAATCATTTTCTATTGTATCTTGATAGCATCTCCACCGTTTCCAAATTTTACATTCATCTTCTTTGTCAGAAGTATTGTCAGTAAAATTATTTAATTGTTTAATATCACATTCTGTAAATTTTATTTCTTAAAATTCCACATGTGTCATTACATTTATTATTAATATACTTATTGGATTCAATACTATCCTTTCTTCTCTAATATATAAAGTCAATATTTCTTTAAGCAGTTCTCAAAGAATCAAATATCATTTTAAGCCACAACAAGTTAACTTATTATTAACTTAAATTATTTTGAACTTAAATTATTATTTAGATCCATGATTATGTACATACATCATTTTTACATAAACTATTACTAACTCAAATTATGAATTATTTAAATAAACATTTACTTAAATTATAATCAACATATAAATTATTATCAACATATTAGTATTCACAACATAAATCTTACAATTTGATTTCATTGTAAGGTGTATGGATATTGCATAGTTTAAGTTCAGGATAATAATTTACCTGATGATATTTCTTACTTATTTCATACATCAACTTAACAATACAGTGTTTTGAATATTAAACTGTTTACCTTCAACAAATTGTTTGATATTTTCTTTAACAACTTCTCCTTCCTTTTGATGATAAAGCACCATCCATAATATGCGGTCTATCATTTCATATTTTGTATTGCTGATTTTAAGAACTGTTTAACATAATCATAAGATGGGATTTCATAAGCAGTTAGAAATATTATGATGTCATCTTCGACATTTCTTTCAAACAAACTTTTAAATCTCCAAATCATTTTCTATTATATTTTGATAGCATCTCCACCGTTTCCAAATTTTACATTCATCTTCTTTGTCAGAAGTATTGTCAGTAAAATTATTTAATTGTTTAATATCACATTCTGTAAATTCTATTTCTTAAAATTCCACATGTATCATTACATTTATTATTAATATACTTATTGGATTCAATACTATCCTTTCTTCTCTAATATATAAAGTCAATATTTCTTTAAGCAGTTCTCAAAGAATTAAATATCATTTTAAGCCACAACAAGTTAACTTATTATTAACTTAACTTATTTTGAACTTAAATTATTATTTAGATCCATGATTATGTACATACATCATTTTTACATAAACTATTACTAACTCAAATTATGAATTATTTAAATAAACATTTACTTAAATTATAATCAACATATAAATTATTATCAACATATTAGTATTCACAACATAAATCTTACAATTTGATTTCATTGTAAGGTGTATGGATATTGCATAGTTTAAGTTCAGGATAATAATTTACCTGATGATATTTCTTACTTATTTCATACATCAACTTAACAATACAGTGTTTTGAATATTAAACTGTTTACCTTCAACAAATTGTTTGATATTTTCTTTAACAACTTCTCCTTCCTTTTGATGATAAAGCACCATCCATAATATGCGGTCTATCATTTCATATTTTGTATTGCTGATTTTAAGAACTGTTTAACATAATCATAAGATGGGATTTCATAAACAGTTAGAAATATGTTGATGTCATTTTCTACATTTCTTTCATCCAACACTTGAATGTCTAAATGATTTTCTATTGTTGCTGATAGTACCTCCACCTTTTACAAATGTTACATTCATGATATTTATTCATTAAATAATCAATCATATCATTAACTATTCCGAACTATTCCATTAGGTAAACTCAATTTGTATAGTTCCACATTTTCTTTTTTGAAGTGGCAGCATTTATAGCGTTTCTTATTAATATACTTATTGATTTCAATACCGTTCATTTTCTCACTAGTATATTAAGTCATTATTTCCTGAAGCCATTTTCAATTAATGCAATATTTTAAATTAACATCAGATGAAATTGTTATTAATTTAGTATTATCTTAAATTATTATTAAACTCAGTTATTATTCACTTGAAATATTATTAACTTAAACTAGTATTAACTCAAGTTATTATTAACTTAAATTATTATCAACTTAAATTATTATCAAAATATCAGTATTCGCAACATAAATCTTACCATTTAATTTTTTGTAAGGTTTATGGGCTTAAAATAATAGTTGAGTGGCAGAATCAAAATCATGATACTCCAGTATCAAACTCACGATACTCCAGTATCACAGTATCAAACTCACGATACCTCAGTATCACAGTATCAAACTCACGATGCCCCAGCATCAAACACATGATACTCTCATTTTCAAGCCCAACCTAAAAGTCAAAACCCTTAATCCGTCAAACTCACCAAGGTTTCACAAACCAATGCAGCAGGATTTTGTATACATCTTCCTGTTTATGCTTTACATAATCCTCACCCCGAATTTTCCTTGGTTCCACTTGGGAAGCGTTGTGTTGTTTCAATATGTCTCTGCATGTTGACCTGTCTGCCTCAGCTTTTTGGGGGTTTCAAGGGGTGCATGGAGGGCCGGAGCCTCACGGTGGGCCTGGCCGGCGGCTCCTTTGCTCCTTGCTCGGGCAAGCGTTGAGCACTGCGTTTGACGCTCCCGTGCACTTCGCCTTGCCTGAGTGCCCGACCTGCCCCGACTTTGAGGTGGATCTGGGCGCTCTGGACTTCAGGTCGGTGCTGATCGGGATCCTCGTGGGCATCCTCGCGGGGCCTCTGCTGGACATCCTCTCGCTGCTGAGGTACTCTTGGCGGACCTGGGTGCGTAACCGCATTGCATCGCTGGCTCGGCGCTCTACCACCTTGTACCGGGTTCTTTGATGCCCGCCCTGCCTTCGCTAGCTGCTTTGTCCAAGAGATTCGAGCTGCTAGAGGCGGAGGTTGTCGAGCTTCGTGAGCGGGTGGAGGAGTTGGAAGGCGCGGGCGATTTTGGGTTTGAGGCAGTGGACGAGGTACCTCTGCAGCGGCCTTCATCGCTCCCGGCCTCCTCTTCTACTCCCTCGACGAGGGCTCGCGGAGCGGTTGATCCGGATCGAGCTTCGGTGGCTCGTGAGGTGGGCCTGTTTTTGAGGAGGTGCTTGTCGGGTGAACATCGCGGGACTTCGGGCCGATCCAAGGTGAAGGTTGCAAGTTCTGTTTACCTGGTGTGCCAGGATTGGGACCGCAAGGCTTACAACCCCCCCTTAGTGTTTCATCGGTGGAGTGAGGTGCGGAATTTGTGTACTCGGAATCGTGATTTCGGATCCTCTATTTTCGTGGGCTTGCCAACGGACTTGGAGGCGGTGATCGCGGTTGAAGCTGCTGGGTTGGAGATTCCTGAGGCCCTGCTTCAGGATTGATGGCTTCAGACGCCAACGGACCTGCTGGGTCTCTTCCTCACCAGCCACTGCAGTTGCGAGATTGCTTGGTCGTACAGGAGGGAGAGTGTGACCCCGAATATTCTATTGGAGAGTTGCAGATTGAGGGCCAACCCGGTCAGAGTCTGGCAGTGGTTGGAGTCGCTACAATTGGCGACAGAGTTTTGGTTGCTATTCCTGAGGCTGCATGGAATCGTCGAAAGGCGTTGCGCGTGCTGCCGGCGGGGTCTCTCACCAAGGCCATCAATGTGTCAGTGCAGTGTGCTTATGCAGAGGAGCGGGGCACCCAGCTGGACGAGACCTACGTCAGGACTTGGCTGGGATTCCTGAACGAGGAGTTTGTGGAACGGGTCAATTTTCCAGAACGGGTCGAGGCCGACCTTGTATTTGGTCACGATCCTCGAGGAAGAGCACTGGTCCCCTTCGGCGAGGCGCTCTACGCGGTTGCCAACGACCACTTTGCTTTTGTCACTGCGGAGAGTGGGGCTGGAGCCTTCGATGGTGGAGACAAGATTGCTCCCGAACTCGAAGCCCGCTTTTCTCAGATCGAAGCGGGTATCCGGGCCATTCAAGATGCTCTTCGGTCCCCCGGGGCTCTACCGCTCTCTCCTGGACCTCCAGCTCCCGCTACGCCTGCTGCCCCACCTGGTCTCGATCCTGGAGTGGTTCAGCAAGCTCGAGCGGCTGGCATCGACGAGGCTGCCCTGACCGAGATGGCGGGTCTGGTACGAGGCGGAGCAAAGGCTCCTCCCGAGCGAGGCCCCAAGTTTCAGGCGCCCCCCGTTGCAGTCCCAAGTTCAGAGGAGGAGGAGGAGGCAGACGAGGGGGGGGAGTACGTACCTCGAGACGCTGTTGGCCACGCTGTCGTCCAGCTCACCAAGCTGGTGAAACACATCGCCCTGGAGAAGAAGGAGAGCCGAGGACGAGGTCTCAACGGGATTCTGGATCAAGCAGAAGGTATTGGGTCAGCTCGCTCTACCGGCAGCGCGAGGAGCAAGGCCTCTGCCCTGAGGTCTCTCCAGGGGCTTCTGCGATCCGAGCCCGAGCTGATTTACCAGACGATCGAGGGCTTCATGCTGGAGGATTGGGCCCAGACAGCTGCTGCCCCCGGTGTCGACAATCCTGCCGTGACGGCTCGTGGGTGGTTGGAGCATCGCAGTCGCATCCAGAACTATCAGACCACTGTGCGGTTTGCTTGGATGTTGGGCGGCATTTGGGACTGCTTGCGACAAGGGAGGGTCGACGAGGCCCGAGCGCGAGCCGCTCTCGGAGTTGCAGCGGCCGATCAAACTGCTCACGACCGCGGCAGCTGGCTTCTGGCCAGCGAGGTTTTGCTGGAACACGCACCTCCGTTCGCCGTGTTTGGACATCACGCTCTGCCCGAAGGTTGGGAAGCTCAGCATTCACGGTTGTTGGATCCACGCTGGGTCGAGCTCTACATGCACAAGCTGAAGGACTTTGCCGAGTTCCAGGAGAAGAAGTTCCGACTTGGCAAGGGCCGGAGCTACCCGACCGAGGACGACAACAAGGAGAAGTGGAAGCCGGAGACCAAGAAGACTGCAAAACCCGCGAAGGGCGACAAGAAGGGCAAGGAGAAGAACACGGAGCGGGAGCCGGGCGCTTCCAGCAGCGCTTGATCTCAGGCGATGATTGCACCGGTGCTCGAGAGCAGCGCTCGCTTCGAGCGGAGTGCCGGAAGGACAGACTGCTCCAGGTCCCGGGGGAGAACGCCCCGTCCGCGGACCTGCTTTCCATTTGGAATTCAATGCACCGCTGGATCCTGCAATCCGGTGGTCCTTTTGCTTCTTTCCTGCATTCCAGCTTTGTCAGGGCGGCCTCTTCGATAGCGGCCACAGCTTTCCACATCTGGCCTATGCCGATTCCATTTCGTCAAGAGCATTCCTACAAGGAGGAGACCTTCGACCAGCCCGCAGGCGCCACTACCTCGCACCATCAGGTTCGGTGCCGGCGGAAGGCCGTAAATCTATTGGTGGCGTTTCTGAATTGGCTGCATTTGAGGAAGGTCCCCACTTGTCCTGAGAGCTGTCGGATCGGTGTCACTTTGAATCGTTTGCAACGTGCTACAGTTCGACGGCTCTCTTTCTTCTTTGGGGAGCTCGAGGTGTGTGGAATCGTCAGTCCTCAAGACATGGGACGGACGGCCAGCAAGGTGGAGGGCTTGGAAGAGATTGCCATGGATCTGGAGCGCTTAGCCAGAGAGTTAGGCCTCTGCACTCCGGCGCCTGGCGAGTACGGCCACAGGACGGCGGGAACAGGTGCTGTTCGGCCCCCTTTAGCCCCTGGCGCGACATCTGCGGATTCTGGTGTTGTGGTGGGGAAGCTACATCGTGGTCTACCTGTTCTCGCCAAGGACGTTGATGCCTCTCGACTTTCTTTCCCTCAGGACCGACCAAAGTTTAAAGCGTCCGAGGTGCTCAAGGGCATCCAGCGGGAGGTATACAACTCCCCATTGCAGTGGGCCCAAGATCCTGATTCATCCACTTGTCCTGTACCCCGAGCTCATGTGCAAGCGTCCCGGAGAGGCGCTCTCAAGTTGCTCGAATTTCTAGATGCTCACCATCGCCTCGAGTTGCTTCCCGAGGCCGAGATCCGCAGGTCCCATCTGTGCGGGGCCTTCTCCCTGCTGAAGGATCAGACCCGCGACCGACTGATTTTAGACGCACGTCCTGCCAACATCTTGGAGGAGCCGGCGCTGAATGACTACACCCAGACATTAGGGGCTGTCCAAGCTTTGCTGCAAGTTGAACTCCTTCCTGACCAACAGATGATATTTCACGGTGATGATCTGCGCGATTATTACTACTGTTTCTGTGTGACAAAAGAACGAGTGAATCGCAACTGCATGAGGTTCCCTCTGGCCCCTCGAGATGTTGCCCACTTGTCATGTTTTTCGGAGAGACTGCTGGAGCATAAGACGGTCTACCCTTGCTTAGCTACGATGGCGATGGGAGATCTCAACGCTGTGGAGTTCGGACAGGCTGCTCATGTGTTGCTGGCCCTGGACTGCAGGGCCACTAGCTTGGAAGAGCTCCTGACGGTACGCGGCCGCGCGCCCCGAGGCAACCTGGCCACTGGCATCATCATTGACGACTACGTGGTCTGTGAGAAGGTCGCTGCTCCTCCTGGGGATCTCCCCACGGAGGGCGAGACTCGCATGGCCTGGATGAATGAGGCCTACGCCAAGGTTGAGCTGACAGCCCACACGGGCAAGGCTTTTCGGAGAGAGTCCCAGGCCGAGTTTTGGGGCGCTGCAGCTGATGGTAACAAGGGTACAGTCCGACCTTCCCCGAAACGGTTGATCCCCTTGATCATGATGACGGTCCGGGTAGCTCGTTTGCAGATCGCTACAGTGGGTCTTCTGGAGATTCTGGCGGGGTCGTGGGTAGCGATTTTTCAGTTTCGAAAGAGACTAATGTGCCTCTTGGAAGAGATCTACGCAGCGCAGCGAGACCGAGAGCAGAACTGCATTGTTCATCTGTCGTGCAGTATGATTCATGAGCTGTGGTCCTTGGTGCTGGTTGCTCCCTTAGCGGTAACAAACCTCCGCGCCAAGACGCTCCCGGTCGCCTACCTCACTGATGCTTCTGAGCAGATGGTCGCGGGAGTTTCCTCTCGAGTGCCGGAGATTTTTGCGAGAGAGCTCCATCGCCATTGTCTAGCTCGAGGCGTTTGGACCCGGATGCTGACCCCCTGGAAAGTATGGCTTCGACGGCACGACCTGCTACAGCCTGAGGAGGAGTTGCCCGCGGGAGTGCCTTTGGTAAGCCATCCTGTCTGGACCTCGCTGGCTCGCTGCCTATCCTTTAAGCTGCTGTTCCGGAGCCCTGTGCGCCGAAGACGCCACATCAACTTGCTGGAGCTCCAGGCCGTGCTGGAGGTGGAGCGACGGGCTGCCCTGCGGAAGCCAAGCTCCAGGTTGCTGATTGGTGTTGATAGCCAGGTAGTGTTGGGAGCACTTTTGAAAGGTAGGACTGCCTCGCCGCCTTTGAACAGGATGTTGCAGTACTCTCTGCCCACCTTGCTCGGTGGGGACTTGTACAGCTCTTATGGTTACGTCCCGTCGTTGGCCAATGTTGCTGATGACCCCACTCGAGGAGCTTCCATTCGAAGCCCTGCAGCTGAGCCCCCTGACTGGCTGGTAAATGCTTTTCAGGGGGACTTTGACAGTTTGGACAAGTGGCTGAATGCTTTGGGGTTTGGGCCCCAACAACTTGCGTGCCTCCCGGGATGCCCAAAATCCCTCGATGCCGGAATGCTCGAGGACTTTGTGCGCGAGCTGCGGTCTGTTCAGAAACCAGATCGCCTCGCGCGGTTCGACCAGGCGGCGAAAACCCCTGATCCCTTTGTCTCACCACCCTGTGAAGCGACAAGAAAGCCTCTTGCGCCCCAAGAGCCAATAAGAGGGAGTTACTCCCCACCGGCGGGGACGGAAGAACCCCAAGAGTTTGACTCTTCTTGTCCTGTCGGAGACCCTTGTGGACCTGGCCAGTCCTGTGACAATGAGGCACAAGACGGGCGACCCCTCAAGGCCACAGGGCCGCAGCAGAAAAAGAAAGCGTCAAGAGAGCCGCAAGCTCCGACGGTGGAGACGTCAAGACTCCAGGAGCCTCAGGCCCGCGCTGGTGTTGGGTCAGGAATCACCGGCCCTTCGGGCCCCCGTAGGTTTCAGATCGCTCGCCGCCATGGGAATCTGTTGGGGTTCAGTCCCCCTGCTTTACCGGATGACGCTTTGCGCGCTCTGCAGGAGCTCCCTGAAACCCAGTTCGTTGTCGACGGTGCTTGGAGCTTGGCTGGGTTTTCCCCGCGCTTCAGAGGGTTTTTGGACCTCTATAGTGGGAAAGCTGGGGTCGCTCGACAGCTCAGCCGACTCTCGGGCACTTGGGTGCTCACCTTCGACTATGAGCGGGGCGCCGACCAAGATCTACTGGACCCTGGGGTGCAGAAGAAGATTTTACAACTGATGCGGTTTGGGGCTTTTCTGGGTGTAGGAGCTGCCCCTGATTGTTCCAGCTTTTCTCGGGCTATCACCCCTGCTGTTCGTGATCGCGGCCACCCCGAAGGTTTACCTGGCATCACCCAGAGTATGCACCTGAAAGTTCTCCGTGGGAACCAGCATGCTGCTTTCACGTTGTCAGTGCTGAAGGAGTGCCGGGCTCAAAGCCTTCCGTACTGGTTGGAGAACCCTGACGGCAGTTTTCTTTGGTTACAACCTCAGTGGATTGCTGCTGGTTTTGCCCTGCCTGATCGCTGTTTCAGATTTGACATGTGCATTTTTCACACTCCCTGGCGTAAAAGAACTCGGGTGGTCACCAGTACAGACTTGGCCGGGATCCGTGAACTTTGCAGAGGAGGTCACAAGCATCAGGTGCTGAGGGGTCGCAGCTCAGCACATCGGGATAACTGGACGCATGTCGCTCAGGTCTACCCCAGACCGCTGTGCGCTCGCATAGCCTCTGCAATGTTGCGAGCTGTGATCAACGGTGGCGTTGACGGTCAGCTTGACTCGGCAGGTTGTGCTAGGACAGGCACTCTTCGTGTCGGGGAGGCACAGAATCCGGGCCCTCGGCGGGCTCGTGACATCGCCGCCCTCGATGAAGCCAAGTTGATCACCCCTGCTACGGCGCTTTTGCAGGATCGAGCTTGGGAGCAGTTTCGCAGCTGGCTGATTGCGAACTTGAGCGCAGAGGCCTTCTCCCAGGTTTTCACTTGTCCCGCACTTACAGTACAGCTGCTGAGAGCCTTCGGACGCGTGATGTTTGAACGGGGGGAGAGTTTGCATATGTTCAGGCAGCTGCTTGCTTCTGCTCAGAAAAAGTTCGCTCTCATCAGACCACTGATGACACCAGCCTGGACACTCGTCAGCCAGTGGGAAGAGACTGAGCCTTTGGTGCACCGGACGCCGGTTCCTGAACCTCTGCTGCGTGCAATGGTAGCCCTAGCGCTGCTGTGGGGGTGGAGGCGGTGGGCTGGTGCAGCTCTGCTTTGTTTTGAGGGCATTGGCAGAATAGGAGAAGTTCTTCGTGCTGAACGTCGAGATCTACTGCTGCCTAGCGACCTGCTAGACTCAGGAAGCAACGCTGTGTTTTTGAGGATACGGCAACCGAAGAGCCGGCTCCGCGGAAAGGGAAAAGTACAGCATCTGCGGGTTGCGGACCCGCGGACCGTTCTCTTTCTGGAGAAGTGCTTTGCTGAGCTTCCCACCTCGTCGAAGTTATTTCCCTTGTCTGCTTCTGCCTTCAGATCCAGGTGGTCTCGCCTACTCAGAGCTCTTCAAGTGCCGCCCGCTGTAAAGTTGACACCTGGTGGGCTTCGAGGCGGTGGTGCAGTTGCAGCTTACAGACGAGGGGAAGGTATAACCAGTTTGTTGTGGCGCATGAGGCTTGTTTCTATGAAGACCCTGGAGTGCTATCTGCAGGAGACCGCTGCTGATAGTGTGCTGCCAGCATTGACCAAAGAGAGTCGGAGGCGTATCACCGTGGCCAACCAGTTTTTTCCTCTCTTGCTTCCAGCAGAGCATCATGTCAAGACAACTTGACTACCAAGCGACAAGCTCGCACTGATGGTGCTGGCCCTTGCATAGGTGGAAGAGGGCTGCGCCTAGCCCTGGGGTTTGGTCAGCTTGCTGTGCTTGTAGGCTGACCCTGTTTTCAGCCCTCGGCATGGGGGCGCAGCTCCACAGGGGCCTCGAGTCCCAAACCTTTGTCAGAGCCCAGCGGAAGCAGGAAAAGAGGCGGCCAGAGCGACATGTCTCTGCATGTTGACCTGTCTGCCTCAGCTTTTTGGGGCCCACCCGCCCTACCCTGGAAGAGGGCTGCGCCTAGCCCTGGGGTTTGGTCAGCTTGCTGTGCTTGTAGGCTGACCCTGTTTTCAGCCCTCGGCATGGGGGCGCAGCTCCACAGGGGCCTCGAGTCCCAAACCTTTGTCAGAGCCCAGCGGAAGCAGGAAAAGAGGCGGCCAGAGCGACATGCTTATTATTCCTGATTTCGCAACAATCTCTATTCCATAATGGTCTAGGTTTCCATTTTGTAATATTCGTCCAGAGCCTAGTTCGTTTCCTGCAATTCAAACCATATTTGCAATAACCAATATCAAAATAATCAAACTCATTCATAAACTCCTGATTTTTTAGATAATCCAGTTTTTGGGTTTTCAACTACATAATATTTAGGATTGAACTATTTCATGATTTGAATACTTTTAATTAACACTATACTATTAGCATATCCAATGTTCCTTATTCCTGTAGTTTTTGCTTTGCTGTATTCAGTGCAAGGTAATGGGCTCCAGATAAAGTCAAACTGATTTCTGTCAAACTGTTTATCATCCCATTCAAGTATATCACAAGTAATCTCAGCATTTTTCAATTCGAATGAAATAGCATTATAGCCGGGCGACTTTTCTATAGTTCCTACACTCTTCGTCCCACTGAATAATTCAAAAAACACATATGATTTATTATGGTATTTTGGAAATTAGTCTTCCATAAATTCATATTTACCGCCTTCCTTAAAAGCCTTGTAATATTCTAATGTTTGTTCCTTTGGACTTTTGACTTGTCCCTTATTTGCGCTTGGTATCACAATCGCCGCTAGGTCTGCCTACCCCTTTTCAAAAATCGTATCCATCTTCTCCTTCCCTTCATTGTTGTTTTTTGGTTCGCGTTCAACTGCTTTGACATCTAACTGTTCATCAAACATGTGTAACAATTTCTGAAAATGTGTTCACATTCTTAGTAAAAACTATAAGCTTGTTTATGTAATCGTTAATGGTAAAATTCTCTGTTTCAGACATTATATGATTATTTATTCAGTTATTTATTTTAATAGTCATTTATTTATATAGTTTTCCATTAAAATTTGTAACGTACTACTTGAATATATTATAATATAACCTTTTATTAATTGTATTCCCATCTTTATTAATTCCTATTCACCTATAGTCTCAGCATATTTTAACACATTGTTAAAATTATTTGGTTGTAGTTATACCTTTCATAAAATATGTTCCTTTGTTTTTGCATCAAGCCAATGAAAAACATCTTCACTTAATTGTTTAGCAAATTCTATATCACCATTCAAGAATTTATTTATTTCTTCTTCATCCCATTGTATTGTTCTTCTATCTTCACTATCTAAATAAGGCATTGTAAGTATATAATTATTTACCTATATTCACTTAAATATTTTTATATAGCTGGTTCAACGTAAATTATGTTCTTCATATACTAACTTATCCCCCTGTTAAAACTAACGTTAATTAAATGTTCATTAGTTTCAATCACCATCTCACCACCAGGCTTTTGTTCAATATTCAACTCTTTATCTGACCTTTTATAAGAAAGCGTACAAGGAATACAACTAACCTTCACCCACCTTTTTTACCTACTGTCAATTCATGATTAAAACGCATAACGTGATTACATTTATCACATTTTATAGATTTCCTTTCACCCATTGATTTAACATTTTCTGTTGTTATAACTCTTTCTTGAACCTCTGGTATTGGTCTTTCTTTGCTTTTACTCTTTTTCTTGACTCGCATGTATATTATCATTTGCATTTGTTTTTTTATATATTGCATTCCTAACTTAATTAGTTCTAATGAATAATGTCAACATTTCTTAATTGTAGTATCGGTTATTACAACTTGTTCTACTTTCTCTACTTCACCTGTAAAGTTTTATTAATCTGAATAACTTCTATTCATATTAAAAATAAGATAAGTTGTTATAATTAATCTTGTTATTAGAATATTCGGGGCTCAGCAAAGGGTGAGTCTTCGCATTGTGTCAAACTAATTATCTTCAATGCTTATGATTGACGTAATGGAAAGCCTGCTCCATTAAATAGTAGATATAACAAATTAAATATCTTTAACATTACTTTTTATTATGCTTGATGTTCCAATAGCAAAACCAATAACCATAACTGATTACGAGTTCAATCAGTCTAAATATGAACACGTGCCAAAGCTACCATTCCGCTCCATCGTGGTTGCTTCGTCAACAGATGGCAAAACAGTTTTAATCCAAAGCCTCATATTGAATGTTTATAGGGACTGCTTCGTTCGTATATTCATTTTTAGTCCGTCCGTTCATAACGACCTTACCCTCGTTGAAGTTAAGAAATACCACAAAGATAATATGAAGGTTGATGACGAGAAAGAAAAGTTATATTATGACACCTACCAACCCGAAGAACTGGAAGAAATTATTGGCGCGCAAAGAATGATTATTCATTACATGGAAGAACAGAAAATGAAGAAACTACATTCAGTTTTAATCATTGTCGATGATTTCGCAGGCGACCCTAAACTTGTTAGACACAGCACGTCGTTACACGGACTGGCAACGAGAGGAAGACACGATGCAATTTGTTTTTGTTTAAGGGTTCAAAAGTACCGAGTATTAGCACCAACCGTTAGGTTGAGTTCAAGTTCGTTGTATATCTTCAAGTTGAAGAATGTGTCAGAGTTACTGAGTTTCATTGAGGAAAACTCCGCCATCGTTGTTAAAGAGCAATTGTTAAACATGTGTCATAAAGCTTTGTGTAAGATGAATTCCTGAGATGTTAATAATATGTTTTATGTTAGGTTTGAGAAAGCTTCTAAAATAAAATCGATCTATATTTAATAATATGCCATTAAAACTTTGCAAATGCAGTGGTTTTTTATCACAGAGGTGTATATAGATCTCATTGTAATTCTTGGACACACAAACTTTACACAGTATTAAAACAAGATGCCGCGCCAGAGGCTCGCAAGCTTTGCGACCAACGGATATTAAGATTTCAAAATCAATTTTGTAATGAAGGATTAATTGAAGATTTTGAAACAAATAGCACTGTTTCAACAGCTATGCCTAAAGATATAGTTTGAGATGATGACACAAGTAAAAGTCTTAGTGTGTTTTATTAATTGTTTATTTAAATTAATGAATCGTTGCAAAATTGTAAAGCAGGGAGTTTATGTATTCACTTGTCAGATTTGTCTTCTTCTAGTTTTCTATTCTTGATACACATTCTCGCAGCTGCTGCTCCACGCGTTGGTTCGAGTAGAGGTCGTCGTCATCCCAAACCATGATAAAGTATCTGCTCTTGTTTTCTCATCTATTCTTAAATTCTTGATGTCTTCCATACTGTTATTTTCTTCGTTTCTACTTTGACCACTACCCATTTTATCTATATATATAGTGTTTAGATTGTTCTTGTTCTTTTCCTTAAATTATTTTCCTATTTTTTCAACTTTATCTATTACTTCCAGTAATGCTTTATGTAATAATATTGGAACTTTTCCATATTCAATACCTAAATATTCACGATTGGTATGAACTACATTGCTAATTTCTCTTGGAACTGCTTTTAATAAAGCATCAGCAATATAACATATGGATGTCATCTTTATCGTTCTATCTTTTATTTGAACTTTTTAGGTTAAAATTTCTTAGTTTTAAGCAAATCTACACCGTACTTCAATCTGGCATCAGAATTGTTTATTAGAGAACCATTTACAGTTACAGTTCCAGCGGCATCTTGGATATCATTGACAAATAACTCCCGAAGCATCGCGAAGGGTTCTTCGGAAAAAACGGTTGCCGACTACACAGCCTGACTTAAGCAGCCTAGCTTACGCAGCGGGACTTACTCAAGCTGACTTACGCAGCCTGACCTACGCAGCCTGACTCACGCAGCCTGACTTACGCAGCCTGACCACGCAGCCTGACTTACGCAGCCTGACTTACGCAGCCTGACTTACGCAGCCTGACTTACGCAGTCTCACTTACGCAGCCTGACTTACGCAGCCTGACTTACGCAGTCTGACTTACGCAGCCTGACTTACGCAGCGTGACTGACGCAGCCTGACCTACGCAGTCTGACTTACGCAGCCTGACTTACGCAGCCTAGCTTATACGCAGCCTGACGTACACAGCCTAGCTTACCCAGCCGAAGCTCGCAGCCTTTAATTCGATCTTCTTTCTTAGCCGGGGGCAGGTCTGGCGGGCCCCCCAGCCCTCTGCGGGGATCGTGCGTGTCGGAGCGCTCTCGCTGTGGCGCCGTGCGAATTTCAAAGTTCGCCGACGAACCCTCTGCGGGGATCGTGCGCGCCGGATTGCTCTCGCTGTGGCGCCGTGCGAATTTCAAAGCTCGCCGACGAACCCTCTGCGGGGATTGTGCGTGTCGGATCGCTCTCGCTGTGGCGCCGTGCGAATTTCAAAGCTCGCCGACGAACCCTCTGCGGGGATCGTGCGTGTCGGAGCGCTCTCGCTGTGGCGCCGTGCGAACTTTCTACGTGGCCGACGAACCCTCTGCGGGGATCGTGCGTGTCGGAGCGCTCTCGCTGTGGCGCCGTGCGAACTTTC